AGCCGCTGATCAGTTTCAGCAGCAGCTGACTTGGGGACGCCTGGGGTTCTTAAGTTGAATCTGTATGTAAGAACTGGTGTCCAGATTCAGCCCGTTGAAACTGATCAGGGGCTGATTCCAGGAAGCTAGGGCAGAGCAACTCTGCCTCCGGCTTGCTGTAGTCAGCCGCTGGTCAGTTTCAGCAGCGGCTGGATCTGGACGCCAGTTCCGACTTACATACAGATTCAACTTAAGAACAAACCTACAGTCCCTATCTTGTACGTAACCCGGGGACTGCCTGTACTTGCAGATTTGTCCCTCAAATGTAATCCAGAGGTTACCACTTTTCGAGTTCCTCTTGCCATCAGATGCTGACGTTTGCTTTGTGTCCTCCTTAGTGGCAACTGTTTTCATGCCATTCTGGGGATTTAAAGGAAATCATCATAATTGTGACCATTTGAAATGGAGCAATGGTTTAAACAATTTGATCTTTATGATGGGTTAGTGCTTTTATAATTATATAATAATAATGTAAACAGCCTGTCTGGATCAGGCTCAGGTATGGCCAGACTCTTGACACACGCTGACTGCTAAATTCATTGCAAGATTCCATCTAAATCAGAACTAGTTAAGGTTCTGGGAGAAGAGAAAATGTATTTGCTTTTACCTACCCAGTCCTGGCAACATAGTAACTGTTTAGAGAAGGGGCTAGTGATTGTACTTTGCTACTTTTTATTAATGCATTTTATGTTTTCATTATGCTACTGTTCTTGCCTTGTTTTCAGTTTAACGCCTTTGAATTGTCCTATTTTGGATAAGAAGGAATTGCATGAGGCTCACCCCTGGTTTGAATTTCTAGTGCAGTGTCGAGGGGTTGCCAGTAACCCAAGAGGTAGGATCCCAGCTTTCATACATTGCACATTCTTTGGATAAACTTATTGTGTGTAACATCAGCTAAAAGTAGCGGTTACAGCCTTAGTTAGTTAAAGTCTGAACAGAAGCAGCCACGTAGACATACATTTACAGCTAACATCTCCTTTGGATCTTCTGGTACGCCCTGGCTTATCGGTGTCTTAGATTAGATGTTCCCCTGCCCAAGATGGTTTTTAATCAGTGTAATTAAAAATCAGAGTGACTTGTGCCCTTAAGTCAGTCAGCCTTTTGAAAATCCCATCCATCTTTACAGAGCCAAGCATATCCTCGTTGCTCAGCACAGTGCTTTTTTTGTTTTTTAAAAAAAATGGTGCCGGTACTCCAAGGGAAAAGTTGTTGAGCTCTGACTGGAGGTGCTGGTACTGCATTTGGGGGTGCCAGTACTGTGTACCGGCAGTACCGTCACAAAAAAGCACTGGCTCAACAAATAACCTTTGCATGAGGCTTGCATTTGTTATTTCAGAAAATACGTGCACTATAGGATAAAGAATTGATCAGTAATGGATTGTAAAAATGTGGGACCTGAATCCCATCCTCTTTCTATGGGCCCCATTCCTTTTTAAGCTCAACAGGAACATTGTCAATACTTTGGAAGGGTTTTAAGAGCCTGCCTGCCCATCTATATAGTGTGCCATCAGCATGAGTTTTTTAAAAATGTACTTTTTCTTAATCTTGAATCAATTTTAAAATATGAATAATTGAATCATATATTTTTTCAGTGTAGAAAAATCTCACTTTTTTTTCTTTTTACAGATCCAAAGATGATTTTTCAGGCTAGTCTTGCAAATGCTCAGATCTTGATTCCTAGTAATCAAGCTAGTGTGAGCAGCATGCTGTTGGAAGGACATACACTGTTAGCACTGGCAACCACAATGTATGCACCTGGCGGTATTGATCAGGTACTGAATAGATAACAAATACTATGTCAGCCATTTCTGGAAATTTATTCCAATTGCTAGGAGCTAAAAACGTGTGTCCCGTGGGTGTAATTTGTAAAATCGTGTGTGTGTGTGTGTGTGTGTGTGTGTGTGTGTGTGTGAGTGTGTGTGTGTGTGAAAAAAAAAAAGGGGGGGGGGGGG